CCCGCCCCCCCAAATATAAGACTTTATGTAATAAACTACCATAAAAAATGAACCTATTTAATAGAGGAATGAAGATTGATGGATCTTGTAGTATTTGTGGTGAAAGTGAGGAGGATTAAGAACCACGTTTTTGTCAATTGCAACCATGCAAAATAGATTTGGTTGATTACCCAAAGTACATTCAAGTTCACAAAGTGAATTAATTTTCTCATTTTAGGAGGTGTGGAAAAAGTTGAATGATAATGATCCAAATATCTTTCAAATTTCAGATACTAAGAAAAAACTTGTAATTTTATTTCAGTATATTTGGAAAAACAGAAATGAGAAAACTTTCAAAAATAAAATCTTACCTCTTGCTGTCATTCTTGATAGAGCTCACAACTTTTTTGTGAGATTAAATCAGCTCCTAAGGAAAAAAAGAAAATGGAAAAACAATGGATCCCAATAAGATGGACGAGTCCATATTTAGATGCTATTAAAATAAATTTTGATGCCTCATGTGTAAATGGTCATTGCTTTATAGGTTGTGTTGCAAGGGGACCATTTAGGAAATATTCTTGACCTAAAAGCCTACAAAGTCGGATTTACCACTGTTAACTTAGTTGAAGTTTGGGCTGCTTGAGAGGTTCACAATATTGCAAGCAATTTCATAAAATAGGTATATTGTTATCGGAGGTGATTCAAAGCTTGTAATCCACTGTCTCAATGACAAAACCAAACCGCCATGGAGATTAAAGCCTATTCTTGAAGATTACAGGGCCTTGAGATATAATTTGGAAGGAAATGTTCTATTAGCATGTGCTCAGAGAAGCAAATATAGCTGCAGATTGGTTAGCAAACAAGGCTCATGAAGTTTATATTTCGCATGAGCTGACTCTGACACCTCTAACGTTAATTTCTTGCTTAGATTTTTGGGGTGTGCTACCCCCGAGTTGTATAACCTAGGGATGAGCAAAAAAATGACCGAAGTTGAACCGAAAAATTGGTTAATCGAATCGGTTAGTTTGGTTTTGGTTCGATATTCTTAAAAAACTGATAGTTTTGGTTCGGTTTCGGTTAACCATTTAAAAAAACTGGCGGTTAACCGAACCGAACCGACCGATATATATATATATATATATTGAAAATCAAATTAAAAAGTTCGACAGCTTGAGACTTTCAGCCTTTTTCTTTGAACCTTTCAATTAAAAATTGAAATATATTTTATTTTATTTTCAATTGAAAACCGAACACTACCAGTCTCTCAGTCTAACACTCTGACAGTCTCTTCGAAAATCGAAACCTTTTAACCTCTCTATTTGTCTCTTCGAAGTTCAAAACCTAAACCCAATACCTTATGAGAATTAATGTGGAGGACACTCTCAGTTCTCTATTTCTCACTCTCTTAGTCTCTCTTAGTCTTGACTCTTCGTATTCCCAAACGACCAGACCCCAATCCCAAGTGGCCAATTCGGCAATCAGATGCTATGTGGATACGTTACTCAATCTCTGACTACCCGACGGAGGACGAATGCTCATGAAGAAGAAAATAGTCTCTCTATGCGGGGAGTTTTCTCAATGACAGTGTTGACACAACATTCGCCGTGTTACTGTGGATCATGGCAAACCTAGTGAAGCATCCACACATCCAAGCAAAGTTGTTGTCGAAGATTGAAGGGGTAGTGGGGTTCGGAGAAGAAATCAAAGAAGAAGATCTGCAAAAGATGTCATATCTTAAGGCGGTGATGTTGGAGGGTCTGAGAAGACCCCCGCGGGGACACTTCTTGCTACCGCACGCAGTAACAGAGGATATCACCATAGATGGGTATCTTGTACCAAAGAATGTGATAATGAATTTCATGATAGCAGAGTCTCATCTGTCATCTCTGTCGCACGGCTCGCGCCAACCACCAGCACCAAAGTGACAATACCGATCGCCACCTCACCGGCAAGTAAGCACCAACGCCATCTTTATATCTCTCTTCTCTCTCTTTCTCATCTCTCCTCTCTACGGCTCCACCAGGCGCCACCTCTCAAGCTCTCACTTTAGGCGACAAACCGACAACAACCACCAACACCAACCAGTCCGACACCGATAGTTTTAGGTATTTTTTTATTTTAAGTGCATAAAAAACCAAAAAACCAAACCGCAGTTAACCAGTCCACTGGTTAACCGATTGCATCGGTTTTGTTTTAATTTGGATATTTAAAAAACCGATCAGGTCGATTCGGTTTGAAAAAAAGTACCTCAAACCGAACCGTGAGCACCCCTAGTGTAACCCCTTTGTTTTTTTTTTCTTGTTTTATATAAAAAAAATGAAGTCTTTACCATGTGCATAGTTATATAAGAGAAGCAAATAAGGGCAAAAATGATAAATAATACTTAAATTTTTTTTTGATACCTATCCCTTAAAATACCCCCAACCTACCTTTTAAAAAAATTAATACACACTTTTTACAATTATCAAAATATTTATCAATTAATACCCACGTTTTACAATTGTGAAAATATTTAAGGGTGGACTACTAATAAAAGGAGGGGTTGCAATTTCAGATTTCTGATTTATCCCAAATATTTATCAAGTTTTCATTTAAGCAATCCACTTATCCCAAATATTTATCAAGTGCTCTGTGACTACTAAATCCAACTATTAATTTCATAAAGAAGAGGGTTTCTAGCACATAAGGGCAACTCTTTGCCTTGAATATCAATAAAAAATAATAATTTTATAAAATAGCTAAAATAACTTTTTGAAAAAATATCAAAAAAGGGCAAGGGCACTGTTCATAGTCTTCCTCTGCCTTCCTTTGTATTCATGCCAGCCATTTCAATGGGTCAACGGGTCTCGATTGTCCATTCCGCGTGCCGGAGGCTCAAAAAGTTATCTCTCAGGGTTTGCAAACCCAGCACCTAGGACCCTCCAGAAGTTATCTCTTTGTGTTTGCAGAGAGATGATTTCAGATACCCAAATAAAACACTCCCCGTAGCCGTAAGAAAACAGTGGGGAGAGAGAGGCAGAGAGAGAATTTCAGATCCGTGGATCTTTTTCCGTTGTTCACGAACTAAAGCACCAAGAGATAAAGATGGGCGAAATTGTCACAGATAAAAATCTTATGAGAAAAAAGAAGTGGGGAAAAGGAAAAGCTTAGAAAAAGCTCGAAACACCCGTGAGAAACCGTTCAGGAATGGACCGGATCTCGTCGAATAAGGAACACCCATTAATCCACAAATGTCCAAAAACAGTAGCCACATCTCCGAAACCTTTGAATCTCCACGTCTTATAGCTTAAGCATACCAAGTTTTTCGTAGAAGAACAGAGAACAAGATATCCATCTTTTATATCTTTTTTCTTACTTCAGATCTTCTACACGAGTCCATCGAGAAAATATTTCAAAAACAAACATCATTCAACTCATCGCTCAAAACCCACCAACTTGAATTCAAGCTTTCTCTGAACCATAATCAGCAAACAGGAAAAGAGAAAGATTGCGAAAAAACAGAAAAGAAGAGATGGAATAACCTTTAAACCGAGGACCCATTAACAAAAAAACGAGATGATTAGCATCCAGAGACAGAGACAGGTCTTTCAAGCTCAAGAAGGCAAAGATGAAGTTTTCACACAAACAAAATAATGTTCCAATGCGTTACACGACGGCCTCTCTGTCTTTCTCCTCCTCCTCCTGACTCCCGAGTCCTGAGCTCCCCCTTTCATAGATATACAATTCTCTACACCCCACCCCCTCTAGGCTCTAGCTCTAAGGCCTTCCCGTGCGTCATTCGATGATGGATGGCATAAATGAACCGCTTCACATGAGTCGTTGGATCTTCACCGAAACCTTCGACAATCATAACGCACATGTTGGCCACGTTGGAATGGTCAGGAGCTGTGTTGGGCAGAGGCGGGAGCGTTGCTGGAATTATTTTTATTGATATTAGGGCCCGAAAGTTGCCCTTATCTATATAACCCAAAAAAATCGACAACTAAATCCAGTCCCGGGTCCCCTATTTACCCTACGGAGTGCAGTTCCGTATTCTGTTTCTGTCTTTCTATTCCTAATGTGAGCGTCCACCTGCGACTGGAGAAGAACAGGGTCTATTTGCGTCGTGCCGTCTGTTGAGAAATGTTGGTCCGTTGTGTGCGCATGGTCCTCTCTTCCGGCCGGTCGTTTTCGGTGGAAGCGGCGGCAGAGGCCTTCACCAAGGGTGGCTCTACCAGCACCAGCACAAGCAGCGGTGGACGAGACACGATAGGGCGAAGGCTTCTCACTCTCATATACCCGAAACGCAGCGCCGTCGTAACTATTCGAAAATGGACCGAAGAAGGCAAAACCGTACGCAAATACGAGCTCAACCGTGTGGTCCGAGAGCTTCGAAAGCTGAAGCGTTACAAACATGCACTCGAGGTGCTCCATTCCACCTTTCTGTTTCCCCAGTTTCTTCTTTCAATATGGTTAATTCTGGATTCATGGGTTTCGTTTGGTTCCTACTGTCATCTAAAATTCTAATGCTTGATCAAAAAGGTGGAGATATAAAACGAAGACTAAAAAGAAGTTAGGTCCTTTTTAGTTCATGCCTCATGAAGGATAATACACAATAAGGGCGTGATAATCCCATAAATGTAATGCACAGTGACACAGCCCAAGCCATGACAAGCTCTACTTGTCTCCTTTCAGTACACATGTGATCTCATGTCTGCTTCTCAAAAAATCTATCCCATCTTTTCTAGGTTTCCAACTCCTAATGCTTATCGTAATGAAAAGATTGTCTTCAGTTTGACACTTAAGATAAATATTTATAGGTGTAAATCTTCGATTAACAGCTGTCTTAACAACTATCTAAATGAATGACAACTGTCTAACTGATTAACTGATTCTCTTATACAGCTAAGGCTTCCCCTCAAGTTGGACATGGGCCGGATGTTGGAGAAAACATGCCCAACTTGAACAAAAAGGAGTGAAATTGTTCTCGACCAAGAGCCTTGGTAAGCACATCAGCTGGCTGAAGCTTTGAAGGTACATGGCAAGTGATGATTGTTTGGGACTGTAAGATTTCTTACAAAGTGATATTTTGATGTGCTTGGTTCTTTCATGAAATACTGGGTTGGCTGCTATATGTAAGGCGGCTTTATTATCACAGTATAGTTGCATGGGTTGGGCATGAGAAAGCCCAATGTCGAGAAAGAGGCGTTTCTGTTATGGACACACCGCCCGGCAGCGCACTGCGGCGCAGTCATAGGCAGCAGCATGCACAGCGGGYCGCCAGCAGCACTAGGCAGCAGCATGCACTGCACGGCAGCACCGCGAGATGTGCGCACCGCCCGGCAGCAGCAGTAGGGCGGGGCCCACGACAGCTCATCAAGGTGGGTCCACACTTATCCTACCACATCAGCTCTGCTCACCAACTCGCCGCCAGCTTCACCATTCCTTATCCCTTATCCCTTTGCCTTTATCCCTTATCCTTATCTTATTTTATCTTCTTAAGTAAGAGTTGTGTTATCATTAGGAGTAGGTAATTAGGAGTTTTAGTTTGAGTTGGATTACCCTAGCCTAGCCGAATCCAACAAGGAAGTTCTCTCTGTAATCTCCTATTTAAGGAGCTACGAATTGAAGTAAAGGTATTCAGTTTTCCAGTCAAGAAAAGAGTGAGGAGAGTTCGGGTGGTCTCTTGGACAAGTCACCCATTCAGAGAGTTCGGGTGGTCTCTTGGACAAATCACCCATTCAGTTTCCGCAATAGGGTCTGCACGCAAGGGAAGGCGCAAGGGAAAGCAGGGCTTTCTCACTGTGGACCGACCCGTGACGAGATCCTACGCGCGGG